GATAATATTTTTAAATTGATCGAACATCTGAGGTATGTCCAGACATTATATATGCAAGTTTTGTACCTTATTTTATTCGGTAACTACATTAATTAGGTATACAATTGTAAGACTGATTAGATATACTTATACATTTATCAAATTGTTTATTCGAAAACGTTCATGTTTTTCGAAAATATTTTGCATAATATACGTACATATAATATATTTCCACTATTTTTTTCGGCATGAGAATTAACATAGAGACACTTGTTAAGAACAGCGAATTACCTTTTACCACCTTCTTGGAATCGTCCCTCTTATCCGTAAGATATTTCAGTCAATATTTTACTCCTAAACATGATAATAAATGATACCTATAATTGTCATTGTCTACAAGGTTTTATAGTCTAATTAAATAAAATTTAGGCACCGCTTCTGGTTTCAAAATGTATTATAAACAATGAATTATTGTTAATTACACATACAATTGAGTAACTAACTATAATATTGATTTTTGTTTTAATATCTAATTATCGTTTAATAATTTTGTTAAAACACATTTTAAAAACTTAATTTCTCTGATTCCTGACTTAATATTTTTTCTGATTTTTTTGTTCTATTTAAAATCAAAACCGTCATTATTTAATTTCTCATTAAAGTGACAGGTAATCGTAATGGTAATGAATTTACTATGTTGTGTAACGGGTTTTCCATATTATTTTGAAAAAAGGCTCAGAAAATGATTTTAACGACTTTTATTTATGAATCAACTAGTTTTAGAATTCAACCAAAATTATTCACTGGATTTTTGAATTTAAACCATGTTATAAATTTTGGTGAAATATACAGAAATATGACAGGATAATTATTATTTTTTATAAGTGTGTAACAAGCTGCNTATAATTAATTACTTTGCCATTTTTTTGTTTGTTTTTTAATTGATAATAAGGTACTAAATTACACAATATGACGTACGTGATATTTGCAAATGAAGAAAAAAAAAATTGCAACATTTATTGATTTAGTGCCTTTATAAAGATAAATTAAAGTTTTATGGATGAGGGTAAATATTTATCCAAAGAGTAAATAAAACTAAAAATTAACCTATACATATAAATTTGTACCTGGCACAAGATATAATATATTTTTACAATAAAATAATTTTGGGAATTGTGTATTAAATAATGGAAGAGTTTACTGTCTCCTCAAAACATTTAGTATTCTATAAATTTTGTCGTTGATTTTATTAGTGAAATGTATGAAAAAAGTGTAAAATAATTTTAATAGCATCCACGCAGAATTATTGCAATAAAGTAAGTTGATATGTATGTCAGGACATTGTTAACATGCACATAGTGTTTATATTAGCCATGCTCTTTAGCTAATGTGTTATATTTCATATAAATGCATGAAATATCAACATTCCTGGATAATAGTAACGCTAACTAGGTATGTTGAAAATATTAAAAGTTATTTATTAAATACAGTAGGAGTTTTTGTTAGCGTTCTGTATACCTGAGTATGCTTTTAAATAATATAATTAGATATTAATTAATTTATCCGTAGTTCATATTTTCCATTATGCAAACTATAATGAAGGTAAAATGCTGATTAACACTTATAATCCATGTCCATGTATGGCGTGTATCATGGTCTCACAACAGTAAATCACCAAACTGCCAGATTAAAATTACTAATCTTAACTTATAATTCATCTATAGTCATCAATAATAACCCTATAGCACCAGTCGAAGAAGTTGGGACAAATTTACTATAGGTTTTACGTACAAAATGATGAATTATATGACAGACAAAATGAAATATACGTTAAATTTGGTCGTGGTGGTAATCACTAAGTGAATACAGAAATTAAAACTAAATACAGACACTTGACTCAAAGAGTGATACAAATTTTCTTAAAATTTTGCAGAGCTTGTCAAACAAAAATGTCATCTAAACGAAAAGACCTTGTAGTTAAACCGATTATTCATTCAGAAATTAAGTATCGTTATCAGGTATATCTCATCTGGGCCTGGATAAACAACAGAGGCATTGTGTACTACACATTTCTGGGCGTATATTATTTAAAAAAAAAAATCGTTGAAAGTTAAAAACAAATCTCATTTTATTTATTTCACAAGTAGATCCTAAAAACAAATTTCTTGAGTTATGTAAAATTTATATCTACAAATCACCATTTTTTTTTTCAATTTTTTTCTGTAAGCATTTTTATACTTCTAATTTTTTTTTTGCAAATTCATGAAAAAAGTGTTGACAACGATTGGTAGAAGTAACGGTACAGAAATTAGTCATCATTCTTTTATTTGAAAAAAAAAACTTTTTCTACTTTTAGATTCCGAGCGTATCGTAGTAGCTATTGTTATTACTATAGTGTTTATTTATTATTTTGTTCTTCTAGTCTGTGGACACGTTTCTTTCTAATAAACTCCTTCCGATTTGTATATGTGCCTATTTTTCTGTAAGCACGAAGGTACTTTTTAGATTATTAACGCCATGTTTCAAATAAAAACACTTAAAAAAAAATATAAACGTACAATTTCTCTATTTTATTATTTTATTAAAACACGGACGACGTTCTCTACGAAAATAGGTCGTCCATGTATTAATCGAAAAATCACAATATAACTTTTTTGTGGCCTTTTCGATATACTTTCAATCGGTATCAAAACCAGATTTTTGAGCCACTTTTGAGCTTTTAAGGAATTTTACTTTAGGATAGAGTTTTTTAACGGAAAAAAAGCTTAAATCCGAAAAATAACAATTTAGCCTTTTCGTGGCCTTTATGATTTACTTTCAAACGGTATCAACTTCACTCAGAAGAGTCATTCATCAAGCAAAGATATATCTGTTAGAAAAGATATACCATTTTATGACGAAATGAAATCACCCTGTGTATTATATGTACCTAAATTTTAACTTATAANTTATATTTTTAAATTTAATGAGTTTTAATTTTATTATAATATATCTGATTTAGTCTGATTCAAATCAACTTTTGTTGAATAGATAATTTACAACTTGGTGATCTAAACCTCTAGCAAGAACATTTGGATAATCAGTCGACTACAATTATAAGTAACGTTCAGCAATTTTTACTGTCAACTAGAATCATACCTATATAGTAAATATAAATTGTTATGACCGTAACGTTTAACTGAAATATATTAAAATCAAAGCATAAATTTAATATTGTGTCTCCTAAAAATATCATATTATTCGCGTATCTATTTCGGATTTATTGCAAATATGCTGATAAAATTTATCGTTTCGTTTGTTATTATTTATTCTTTTATGCCGGTGTCAGTACAAGGTGAAGGTCCGTTTGCTCCTGAACCGCCATCTCATCTCCCTAATGATCCTGGGAATCCATCTATTTCTCATGATTCTGACATTTCAGATACAGGAGTTCACCCTAACCGTTATCCTGATAGTTCACCCCCAGATGATTGTGGTGGTTTCGGTTGTTGCCCCTCACCTTGTAAGAGAAATTTAACATGGGCCGAATATAATTGTAATAAAGGTTATCACATGTATAAACCCGAAATACCAAATTGTTATTGCTGTAACTGAATAATTCATTTATTCGAGGCACAATTGCAAACTATTTTACAAATTCCATAAAAATATCCAAAATGATCTTTCCATAATTTATTCGTTTAATGAAGCACACTTCCAAATTGAGGCACTGCTACAATTTAAATTAATTTACACCTTAACTACAATAATATTGGTTTGACATTATATGCATATACCATAATAATAATATATTATAATAAATTTGCTGTAATAATTATACATTAACTTTATTATTTTAGATTAAAAGACATTAAAAATCAACTTTTGTCTGTACAATATTTGTGTAATACATTTATCATAAGTGATAAAATAAAATAGTTTTTAATTACAGATTATTTGTTGTATTGATTTCATGATAAATTACTTACTCATCATATCACCTATAATGATACTGTGAAAGTTTATTTATTTGTTTGTAATATTGAAAACCTTAACTCCAAAATTAATACAAAACAATAACTTTTATTGTATTTTTTAAATTAAATTTGTTGTATTTATTAAACTTAATACGAGTCCTAGGCAAATGAATCAAATTAAAAAAAACTTTAACGTTTAACATTTTAAACGGTATTTCTTTTGAAAATGTGTATGTAAAGAATAAAATATGTTCCTTTATATAGTGTATAGCTCAAACAAATCATTATTGTAAAAGCATAATTATCGACTGAACATGAAGTAGACCTGGATTGTTCGTCAGCGATGGTTTACGGTATATATTAAATTATTTAAGAGAGTGGCTACACTATTCCCTTCTATCCTAGGACGCTTTTTTTATTTTTTTATTGTTAATCGGTTCGAAATATCCATAGACTAGAATATTTAATAGAAAACATACATTTGCCTTATCTAGACTTGATAATACTTTTAAATTGATCGAACAATTGAGGTATTTCCAGACATTTTATTTGCATGTTTTGTACTTTATTTTATCTGTAACTACATTAATTGGGTATATAATTGTAAGACTAAACAGATATGCTTATACATTCATCAAATTGTTTATTAGAAGACGTTCATGTTTTTCGAATATATTTTGCATATTATACGTACATATCATATATTTCCACTATTATTTTCGGCATAAGAATTAACATACAGACACTTGTTAAGAACAGCATTTACCTTTTACCACCTTTTTGGAATCGTCACTCTTATCCGTAAGTTATGTCATTCAATATTTTACTCCTAAACATAATAGTAATTTGAAAGTAAAATGATATGTATGTCAGTACATTGTTAACATGCACATAGTGTTTATATTAGCCATGCTCTTTAGCTAATGTGTTATATTTCATATTAAAGCATGAAATATCAACATTCCTAGATAATAGTAACGTTAACTAAGAATGTTGAAAATATTAAAAGTTAAGTTCAATAATTTATCTGCAGTTCATATTTACAATTATGCAAACTATAATGAAATAAAATACTGATTAACACTCATAATCCATGTCCATGGTGTGTATCATGGTCTCACTACAGTAAATCACCAAACTGCCATATTATAAATGTTAACTTATAATTCATCTATAATCATCAATAATAAACCTATAGCACCAGTCGAAAAAGTTGGGACAAATTTACTATAGGTTTTACGTACAAAATGATGAATTATATGACACACAAAATGAAGTATACATTAAATTGAGTCTTTCTTCAAGCAATGATATATCTGTAAGAAAAGATATACCNACATCTATCGATCTATTACATCATCTATCTACATTTATCGGTTTTTTTCTAATAAACTCGTTCCGAATTGTATGTGTGCCAATTCTTCTGTAAGCACAAAGGTACTTTTTAGATTATTAACGCCAAGTTTCAAATAAAAACACTTAAAAAAAAATATAAACGTACAATTTCTCTATTTTATTATTTTATTAAAACAAGGACGACGTTCTCTACGAAAATAGTTCGTCCATGTATTAATCGAAAAATCACAATATAACTATTTTGTGGCCTTTTCGATTTACTTTCAGTCGGTATCAACTTCACTCAGAAGAGTCTTTCTTCAAGCAATGATATATCTGTTAGAAAAGATATACCATTCTTTGACGAAATGAAATCACCCAGTGTATTATATGTACCTAACTTTTCACTTATAACGGAGGACACTCCCATCTTTAGTACCACCACTATTATTAAGATTAAGTGCAAAATATAAGAGTTTAATTTAACTGTCTTCAAATAAATTACTTTGCATGTGTTTGCAGCCACTGTTGTTGTAGGTGGAAAATTAGGAATGTAAAATTCAGGCTGAAATATAATGTAAATCTGTAAAAATCGAAAACCATTGATACCGAAAAAACAATTCTGAGAGAGGTTTACTGAAAAATATTGCTGTGTCAACAATACATATGTCATATGAAAGCAAAATAGTTGCATATGCATTAAACATTTTCTTTAAAAATATTTGTTCAATTTTAGTATCTATTTTACCGTTATCCTGATTTTGACATATTTAATATTTTGGGAAGGATTTGATTATAATAAAATTTATTTTAATAATATAATGATATTATTAACAAATGTAATTTATTATTACTTATTACAAATAGTAATTACAATTACTACGTCCTAATTATAGTCATAACAAAACATTAAATTCTACAAGTATTAATCGGCACATAATAGATATGATGGCACCTATATTATATAATACATGACTCATATCATACGTAAATATTTTGTACAACAATATTATTCTATTATATGTCTTTAATAATAAAGCATAATTCAAAATTTTAAGTTAACAAAAAAAGTGAAAATTTCCATAATTTTAGTAATTTTCCAATTAAAATAAACACAAAAAAATTATTTTTGATCCTGTATCGAGTAGGCAGCGAACCTAGCGGTATTTTAAACTGCAGTAATTTTTTCAATTAATTTATCATAGACCGAAAAGTGAAAGTGATTACACCATAATAATCTACCTTAAAGGTAGGATTATAGTGTGTCAATGATTTTAATGATTACAAAAGTACAATATTTTATATTTTTAAATTTAATGAGTTTTAATTTTATTATAATATATCTGATTTAGTCTGATTCAAATCAACTTTTGTTGAATAGATAATTTACAACTTGGTGATCTAAACCTCTAGCAAGAACATTTGGATAATCAGTCGACTACAATTATAAGTAACGTTTAGCAATTTTTACTGTCAACTAGAATCATACCTATATAGTAAATATAAATTGTTATGACCGTAACGTTTAACTGAAATATATTAAAATCAAAGCATAAATTTAATATTGTGTCTCCTAAAAATATCATATTATTCGCGTATCTATTTCGGATTTATTGCAAATATGCTGATAAAATTTATCGTTTCGTTTGTTATTATTTATTCTTTTATGCCGGTGTCAGTACAAGGTGAAGGTCCGTTTGCTCCTGAACCGCCATCTCATCTCCCTAATGATCCTGGGAATCCATCTATTTCTCATGATTCTGACATTTCAGATACAGGAGTTCACCCTAACCGTTATCCTGATAGTTCACCCCCAGATGATTGTGGTGGTTTCGGTTGTTGCCCCTCACCTTGTAAGAGAAATTTAACATGGGCCGAATATAATTGTAATAAAGGTTATCACATGTATAAACCCGAAATACCAAATTGTTATTGCTGTAACTGAATAATTCATTTATTCGAGGCACAATTGCAAACTATTTTACAAATTCCATAAAAATATCCAAAATGATCTTTCCATAATTTATTCGTTTAATGAAGCACACTTCCAAATTGAGGCACTGCTACAATTTAAATTAATTTACACCTTAACTACAATAATATTGGTTTGACATTATATGCATATACCATAATAATAATATATTATAATAAATTTGCTGTAATAATTATACATTAACTTTATTATTTTAGATTAAAAGACATTAAAAATCAACTTTTGTCTGTACAATATTTGTGTAATACATTTATCATAAGTGATAAAATAAAATAGTTTTTAATTACAGTTTGTTTGCTGTATTGATTTCATGAAACATTACTTACTCATCATATCACCTATAAAGATACGGTGAGAGTTTAGTTATTTGTTTGTAATATTGAAAACCCTAACTCCAAAATTAATACAAAACAATAACTTTTATTGTATTTTTTAAATTAAATTTGTTGTATTTATAAAACTTAATACGAGTCCTAGGCAAATGAATCAAATTAAAAAAACATATTTTAAAAAGTTATTTGTTTGGAAATGTGTATGTAAAAAACAAAATATGTTCCTTAATATAATGTATTGCTTAAACAAATCAATGTTGTGAAAGCAAAATTATCGACTGAACATGACTAAGACTTGGATTGTTCGTCAGTTATGGTTTACGGTATATATTAAATTATTTAAAGAGTGGCTACACTATTCCCTTTTATCCTACGACGTCTTTTTTTTTTTTTATTGTAAATCGGTTCAAAATATCCATTGACTAGAATTTTTTACAGAAAACATACATTTGCCTTTTCTAGACTTGATAATATTTTTAAATTGATCGAAAATTTGACGCATTTCCAGACATTTTATTTGCAAGTTTTGTACCTTATTTTATTCAGCAACTACATTAATTGGGTATACAATTGTAAGACTGAACAGATATGCTTATACATTTATCAAATTGTTTATTCGAAGACGTTCATGGTTTTCGGAAATATTTTGCATATTTTACGTACATATCATATATTTCCACTTTTTTTTTCGGCATGAGAATTAACATAGGGACACTTGTTAAGAACAGCGATTTACCTTTTACCACCTTCTTGGAATCTTCAGGATAAGAGTCCTCTAGATATGTCAGTCAATATTTTACTCCTATACATAATAATAAATGATACCTATTATTGTAATTGTGTAGAAAGCTTTATCTTCTAATTGAATAAAATTTAGGCATCGATTCTGGTTTCTAAATGTATTATAAACAATAAATTATTCTTAATTAGACATACAATTGAGTCATTAACTATAATATTGATTTTTGTTTCAATATCTAATTATCGTTAAATGATTTTGTTAAAACACATTTTAAAAACTAAATTTCTCTGACTCCTGGCTTAATAATTTTTCTGTTTTGTTTGTTCTATTTATAATCAAAACCGTCAGTATTTAATTTCTCATTAAAGTGATAGGTAATGGTAATGGTAATGAATTTACTATGTCGTAAAACGGGTTTTCCCAATTATTTTGAAAAAAACGCATAGAAAATGATTTGAACGACCTTTTTTATGAACCAACTAGATTCAGAGTTCAACTAAATTTTTCTAGTGGACTTTTTAATTGAAATAATGCTATATATTTTGGTCGAATGTACAGAATTATTACAAGATAATTATTTTTTTAAAAGTGTGTGACGAGCTGCACAAAACAGTTGCATGCTATAAATCATAGAACTGTGTTGCCAATGTTTTTATATTAAATAACTCTGCGAATTTTTTTGGTTTTTTAATTAATTAAAAGGTACTAAAGTACATTTTGATAAAAGTTTAAAAAAATTTTAATCGCATCTATGCAGAATTATTGCAATAGATTAAGTTGTTATGTAAGTTATGGACACTGTTAACTCGTAGATAATGTTTATATTAACTTGCTTTTATGCTAATGTGTAATTTTTCGTTTAAAAACATGAAATCTCATCATTTCTTGATAATAGTTACGCTAACCAGGAATATTGGACAATGTTAAAAGTTATTATTTAAATATAGTAGAAGTTTTTGTTAAAATTCTGTGTATTCGGGTATGCATTTAAATAATATTTTCAGACATTAAATAATTTAACTGCAGTTCAAGATTAGATAAGAATCCATATTTACCTTTATGAAAAATATAATGAAATAAAATACAGATAAACACTCATAATCCATGTCCGTGTCTGGTGTGTATCATGGACTCAGAACGGTAAAGCGTAGAACTGCCAGATATTAATTACTTATCAAAATTTATAATTCATGATTTATAATATTCCAATCTGAAATGAGTCCGTTTTTACTAGTGGTTTGTTAGGCACAAAGGTTGAAAAGCTAGTAAAATTGTGAAATTTTAATTTCATTTATAATTATAATTTCATAATATAATAATATTAAAACAAATGTTATTTGTTATTACTTATTACAAATAGTCACAACAATTATTACCTCCTAATAATAGTAGTATCAAAGCATTAAATTGTAGAAGTAATAATTGACACATAATAGGTATGTTGGCACGTATATTAAATAATACATGACTAATATCATACGTAAATATTTTTTACAAAAATATTATGTTATTATATGTCTATATTAATAAAGCATAATTTATAATTTTTAGTAAACAAAAAAAGTGAAAATTTCCATAATTTTAGTAATTTTCAAATTAAAATAAACACAAAAAAATAATTTTTGATCCTGTATGGAGTAGGCAGTGAACCTAGCGGAATTTTAAACTGCAGTAATTTTTTAAATTAATTTATCTTAGACCATCAAGTGAAAGTGATTACACCATAATAATCTACATTAAAGGTAGGATTATAGTGTTTCAATGATTTTAATGATTTCAATAGTACAATATTTTATATTTGAACATTTAATAACTTTAAATTTTATTGTAATATAATTGATTTTGTCTGATTCAAATCAACTTTTGTTGAATAGGTAATTTACAAACTTGGCTATCTAAACCTCTAGCAAGAACATTTGGATAATCAGTCAACTACTACTATAACGTAAAGTGTAGCAATTATTACTGGCAACTGGAATCATACCTATTACTAAATATATATTGTTAAGACCGTAACGTTTAAGTGAAATATATTAAAATCAAAGCATAAAATTAATTTTGTGTCTCCTAAGAATATCGTATTATTCGAGTATCTATTTCGGATTTATTGCAAATATGCTGTTAAAATTTATCGTATCGTATGTTATTATTTATTCTTTTATGCCGGTGTCAGTACACGGTATAGGTGAGCATACTCCTTCACCTCCACCGCCATCTCATCTCCCTGATGATCCGTATTTCGAGGACCCTGGCAATCCCTCTATTTCTTATGCACCTTACATTCCAGGTACTCCTGGTAACCCTCCCCGTCAGATTAAAATACATTAAAAATCAACTTTTGTCAGTACAATATCTGTGTAATACATTTATCAAAAGTGATAAAATTAAATAGTTTTAATTTTATAATATTATTAACAAAGGTATTTGTATAACTTATCACCAATAGTAATAACAAGTACTAGCTCCTAATAATAGGACGGTATTACGGTTTTTGAATTTTGTAGCAGGGATTATGGGATTGGACATACGAACAACTAAAGACAAAGTACAGATTATCTCATCGACATGCATTCGCAAGCTAATGGCAAATTTTGCTCTCTTATGGTTTATTCAGTCAATTTAACAAAATGTATTCAGTCGCGGGCTTAAAAGTCAAAAAACGGCCAAAGAAGTGGCGACTAATATTTTGGATATATTTTGTATTTTTGGAGCACCGGTTATTTTACCATCCTACATTGGGTGTCAATACTACAGTACAATTATTAACGATTTGAAAATTATGGAAAAGATGATGTTTGAAACCGTGAATAAAAAAAAATAATGGAGATAACAACATTAAAGAGGTAAATAAATAATGTTGTTCGAAAGTAACACATTAAGA